GGGGGTTTGAAGGGGAAAAGGTGGGGGGGGGGGGGGGGGGGTGGAGGGGGTGTACCTTGCAGACCCCCCCTCTTTTGTTCGGTTGTGACGCTTAGGCCCAAGGTTTACTTTTTTACTTCTCTGCCTTCCTATTTGCTAAATTATGTCTCATTTTTCTTGGGGTGTTGCTGTGTCTTTTGCCCTCCTCCTCCTATCTTTCCCCCCGCTCATGTACCTGGTGTTGGTGACGATGTTTGTTTGTTCCAGAACGTTTCTGGGAGTGGTCTGCCTGATGCAGCTGTCCACGAGAGAACAAGACTACATCGTTGACCCTCTCAAGCTACGGGGGGAGATGGGAAGGCTACTGCCGGTCTTCTCCGACCCCAACATCGTCAAGGTGGGCTATGCGAGACCGTGTGGGTCCGATACGTACAACAGCAGCAGCGCGTGGTAGGGTTTTTATTTCCTTTTTGCTCACGTAGCAACGGTAAATGCCATTGACCAGGCTGTTGGCGTCGTGCTATCGTTGTTCCAACTATAATATGTACGGCTTTTGTAGTTTTACTACAATGCAACTGCTCCTCTTGAAATCTCTTTGTCGCCTCGCCGTATTCCCCACCAAACTAAAGTCGATCCAAGGTCGCACGTCTTTTTTCTTGAATTTTTCGCTCCTGGTTTGTCGCAACCATGGGGCTGCATGTCTATAGGTAGCATGAGAGAGCGTACAACTACAATACGGAGGCAGGAGCAGCAGCGCAACACCGACCGATTGCCGTGTTGGTGGGTTTGACTCCTGTGTCACCGCAGGGTGTTGCACCGGGATCTGTCGTGATCCCGAACTCTCCGCGTGTGCACGTGAAATGATTCCGTTCTCTTCTCTTTTCCTTTTCTTTTGTGTTCTTTGTTACACGCACCGACCGACCCTTCTTTTTCTCTTCTTTTTCTCTTCTTTTCTCTTCTTATTTTGTTACACGCAACAACAACAACCGACCGACAGGTGTTCCACGGGTCTGACTCAGACGTGCTGTGGCTGCAGCGCGACCTGGGCCTGTACCTGGTGAACATGTTCGACACCGGCCAGGTGGATGACTGCCCAATATTCCTGTTTACGGCGTTTCTCGCTTCCCCCTGTTCCAGCAGCAGTACATGCTGCAGCCCTCCTACAGTAATAATAGCATGCACCGGGAAGAGAAGCCACGTCCATACACAGAGGTCTAGCGGTATCTATACAGCATCGGCTGGCAGTTGAAGCCAAGTCCGCACGGAGGTCTAGCGGTATCCATGCAGGGATGGCTCCGCGCTTCAGATTCATCTTTCTCCCTTTTAGCAAGGCTCAAGGCCTTATCACAGGCTACTGCTAAGCGGACCTACGGGATGGGGTGTAGTGCTGGCTGTTGAGCCCAATATCTCTCGCCGTTTCTCTTGTTATTTTTTTGGTCCCTCGCTAAAAATACGCTTCTTATTCGAGCGTAAAGTTGCGAGAAAAGTTATACCGTTAAGCTTTTTTGGCAATTTTTTGTCGGGAAATCTTGTAAGAATAACTTTATTGCACGCTCACCTCTAGTTGTCTTGACGGGACTGGTGGGAAGCGGAGGCGTCATCATTTTTCGTTTATTGCGCAACGGCGAGAAGCAGGCACAGCCCTTGATACAACACCGCGAAACGGGCCAGAGCGTGCAACACCTGGGTTGGAAAACGAATTGGTGGCACAAAACCTGGCTATGTGCCTTCCAATCGACGCCAGGAAACCTCGATCATGCTCACATACAATTTTTTGACGCAGACTCTGTACGAATACGCATTCTACGCAGCTGCGGCCATCGCAGGCAATTCCAACTCGTCGTTCCAGTGTTCTGGAAAGTGATCTATCTCGTCGATCGTGCGTGTGTGTTGCGGGAGGGTGTCTTTGGTGTGTGTAGTAGGGGCGGGTGCTCGACGTGGTCTCGCGGAAGTCTCGCCGCGAAACGTTTGTTCGAAACTTTTGGTCGCGAGAACAGTTTGCAACATTTTGTCTCCGGATCGCGCGATTGTTGTCAAAAGCAAATGTTTCCAAACTCTTGGCGCCCGCATCTTTTTGGTACCATAAAGATCGCACGTGAGAACAGTCGCGAGAAAGTTTCAAATTTTAACTTTTCTCGTGACCTTGTGCTCCCATAAAAAGCGGTGTAAGAGCCAACAGGAACAAAGTGGTAACCCTTCCTCGCTGTACGGAAAACCCGGTTCCCCCGTATTGCTTTCCGTCGCTTGCTCCTTGTCTGGTTTATCCCTCAAGGCGGCGCGTCAGCTTGGGCTTCCCTCATTCGGCTTGGCCCACCTCCTGGAGAAGTTTTGCGACTTCGTCCCCGACAAGAAGCACCAGCTGAGCGACTGGCGCATGCGCCCCCTGCCGGCCGATATGCTCCTGTGAGTCCTTGCTGTTGTTGTTGTTGTTGTTGTTGTTGTTGTTGTCTGTAACGGCATCATGTGATAGCAGTGAGAAAAAGAAGAGTCCCTTGAAGCCACGCCTCGAGAATAGAAAACAAAAGATAGAAAACTTGCCGGGCTTGGGAGGCTGTGAACTGGAAATGTATCTGTTGAGCTTTCCTGTTTAATGGCAGGCATGGAAGCGTTGTCAACTCAAACAGTTCCTTGATGTTAATGTTGTTGTTGTTGTTGTTGTTGTTGTTGTTTCACCTTGATTGTTCCAGGTTCCAGATGACCCTCGGTGTGCCCTGTACATCGCTCGTTCTGTCCTCCCGCCGCCTTTGCAGAACGACGAGTACATTTTCCTCTCTCACCCATGCACAGAAACAAGCGCCACCCCTCCACCCCCTCTTCGTCCTAACCCCCCTCTCAATGAATACCCTCGACCGACCCCCCCCCCCCCCTCTTCGCCACCCAAAGCTATCGCACAGTCAGACACGCACTACCTTCTGTACGTGTACGACCGGCTGAGGATCGACCTGGAGCGCAGTGGCGGAGACGTGGCCGTCAAGGCCGTCCTGGATGCCTCCCGCGAGATCTGCCTGAGGCGTTTCGAGAAGCCGGCGTTCCAGGAGAAGGGTTGGTCGGAGGTGCTGAAGCGGCAGGGGGGCAACGGAGTGCTGGATGATTTCGGGGACGTGCCGCGGAGGGTGCTCTCTGCCTTGTGGAGCTGGAGGTTCGATGTCTTTGATTTGTTGGGTGGTGAATAGTGGTAGCAACGTCTGAAGCAAGCACGCTCTATCAAAGTTATACCTCGCATGTGTGTATTGTGTATGCTGGTAAATTGGGGAGGGTTGTTGTCCGCCTTGAGGAACTGGAGGTTCGTTAGTGAGATATGTGTTCGTTGTTGTCGTTGTTGTGAATCGTGGTTGTGATGTCTGAGGCCAGCACGTCCTACTTGTATGTTCCTATTTTTGTGTTCTCTGGTACTCATTGTTGTTATCCGCGGGCCTTGTGGGACTAGAGATGGGTCCTTGCTATCGCTGTTTTTTTTGTTTCTTGTCACTTTTTTCGAGTCCCCCAAATCTGTCTTCTTGACGCTTTTTTCGGTTCCCGCAAGTCTGCCTTTTTTTTTTTTTCCGTTTGTCTGAAAAACACGATGCCAGGGACATGATTGCCCGCGCTGAGGACGAGTCCTACGGCTACGTCATGTCCGCGTACGTCATGATCCGGGTGGCGAGGAAGTGCCCTTCCAGCCGCGACGACCTCGAGGGCTGCGGCAACCCCCTCCCACGCCTGGTGCAGCAGCACGCCGAGGACATATTGGAAATAGTGGAGGTGAGTCTCGGGTATTGTAGGGCAGGCACGACGACCATGAGCCCTCCCCAAAAAACGGCATTTATCAAATATCTTTCGAAGTAGACAATTTGCACCGAGGCACCGCGACCAGCTGGTCGGTACATTCGCAGCTTTAAGTGCCGATTGAATCCGGAATTATTCATCGCCATTTTTCCCGCCGCCGTTCCCCCGGGCGCAACGACCAGAACGCCAAGGACGAGTCGGCGGGGTCCACGGAAGCGACAACGCCTCTCAACCCCCGCACGCCAATGGGCGCCGGCACGAGGCCAACCGGCAGCAGCGCTGTGGGGATCGGCGGCGGTGGCGGTGGCAGCAGCAGCTCAGGGAGGAGGCCAGGGTCGTCGACGCTGGGCGGGGATGGAGGCGCGTCGTCGTCGTCCTCCATCGGCAGGAGCAGGACTACCTTCAACCCGGTCTCTTCCGCGGAGCCTTACTTCCGACCGTTCAACGTGACGCCTTCGTCGGTGAGCCAGTTCGTTCTCGCAGAGGCGTCACGGGGGTCTCCGTCCCCGCTGCTCACCCACCAGTCCCCGGTCCTCAACACGGAGGAGCTCTACCGCGCCGCCGGCTGGATGACCCCGCTCCCGAAAGACCCTTCCAAGAGGGACGGCGCCGGCGACACCGACGAGGACGAGGTCATGGGGGACGCCGGAAAAGGCGCCGCCACGGCGGGGAGGCTAGCGGCGGTCTCGGCAAAGAACGAACAGCACGACACTTCCCAGCGGATGGCGCACTCGCTTGCCCTCGGCAGCAGCGGGGGCGGCGGCGGCGGCGGCGGCGGCGGCGGGGCGGTGGCAGCGGCGACGGCTGCCGGGGTTGTCGCGAAGGAGGCGGAGGTGGCGGTGGCGGCGGTGGCGGCGGCGGACGCGGGCGTGCGGACGGCCGATCGCATCCGCGACGAGATCGCCCGCGAGCCAGTGCTTTCGCTTGCCAACCTGGCCGGCTTCGGCGGGGAACCTGGCGCGGACGAGGGCGGCGGCGGCGGTGGTGGTGGCAGCGGAAGCGAAGTGGGGGGCGGTAGCAGCAGCGGGGAGGAGGCGGGCGGGGACCCCGGGGGCGAGGACAGCGCAGAAGAACCTGGGATTCCCAAGAGCATCGCCGAGATCTATGAGGTACTGTAGTGGGTAGAAGTACATCATCCTCTGTCTCGTGTGTGTTGATGCAATGGCAGACTGGAACAACGCCTGTTTTGCGCGTATTTTTGTTGTATTGAAGGTTACGGTGTCCTGCTGAAGAATCAGGGGCGTTGGTTGGTTGATATTGACAGGAGTTTTTTTTCTGTTCTTTGCGGAGGACGGCACCCACAACACACAACACCCACGCCGCCGTCCAAACCATGCAAGACGTGTGGGTTTTGTGGAGTGTTACGCTTTTCTTGGCCCAACAAATGCGGGCCGTACGACTGGCAGTAGTCCTTCCCCTCACTCCGCCAAAAGTAGACATTGCCCCGCAAAACGTGCATCGCGGCGTGAGTGCCATCGTGTGGCTGCTCACCCGGTTTCCCTGTACCATACGCATCGCTGTCTCCTTGTCGATCATACGCAAGGCAGAAACGTTGGTTGCTTGCATATTTGCGTACATTTCTATCTCTATCTCTCTCTCTCGCCTTCCCTATTGCTTGGCGCACCTTCTGCCTGGAGACAGGAGGGTAAATCTAACGCAGTTCACCTCAAGGCGGCAAGGAGGGTTGTGAGAACGTGTTTACCATCACCCCCCCCCCCCCCCCCGAATGAGGGTGACCCACCGCAAGCTTTCAT